GGTAGTGCAACTACCTTGCTGGAGAATTTGCGATTGGATCAGAACGTAGCATTGGCGGGAGAACGTTGGACAGAAGCAAGTGAACTCCAAAGAGCTATCATGTGTCTTTTGGAGTCTACCACAGGTGCAGAGCCGGAAGGAATGTCGATGCACAGCCTGACACCGGGTACCGGTTGCTCAGGGTTAAGTCCGCGGGTCGTTACGACCATTCGCAATGTTTGCCAGCGCCTATATCGGTGGCACAGGAATCGAGGTTCAGATGAGCGATCAGAACGCTTTCAGATGTATGTTCAAAACATGACAAATCTGATGCAATGATGTTTCAAAAATTTCCACTGGATGTTCAGACAGACAAAAAAAAACAGCTGGATGAAACGTTTGGAATGGAAAACAATGTTGGCTGGACAGACAGCCTTGCTTACAGTCCAGAGGAGGAGTGCAAAACATTGTGCAGCCTACTCGTACTCTGGATGACATGCACAAATCAAGAAGATGTCAGTGCAGTTCAGTTTCATTTTGCTTGGCATGAATCACATGCACAAGGATTTCACCTGAGGCCCATTTCGGCTTGAAAAGAGCGCGAGTGCTCCGTTTTCTTTCGCAGAAGGTCCGTGGTTCTCAGTTGGAAGCCGTTTCCTGTTTATATGACATTTATATGCACCAGTTGCCGGCGCCCAGTTACCTACGAGACAAGCCGGTGGGACTTGCAAGCCTCTATAATCTTATATATAGTATATAATTTAATGTAGATATACACTACAGAAAGGCGCCTCAGTGCTAGCCAGGTTGCTTTATAACTAAACTAGTTGCTAGTTAAGGTCTTGATATATCGAACAACAGTTGGGACTCTTTCGAACCCAGAAACATGTCTCATGCCAGGCTCACTTGGACAATAGGAATTGCTATATTTCAGGGCATAGATGGCACACTATTTGATGCTGACCTTGACTTGGGCAGTTCATGGCTCCAGCCTGCAGGTCGTGGATCACACGGAAATTCACGTGGCCCTAATATATGAACTTGCATAAAACATGGACAGTTACTAGGGGTAAGTATCTGAAAATGGCATTCGTTCAGGTACACGATGGGGCGCGGCTGGGCAAGATGGGTGGCCTTATAGTTAGGGCATTAAGATGGTTTATCTACTTGGAGGCGTGTTTCGAAATTTTGATGTGTGGAAAGACACAGAGAAAGACTTCAAACACCGAGCATCACCGTCTCACTATGATCAGCTTCCAAACTCAATTCCTGACCTGTGAAAAAGTCACGGCAAAGATCTCCCGAAGATTGCCAGAGAGTTACACCGTTGTTGTCTCTTACAGAAGTTGACTCGCTTTCAAACCATAGAATCAGTGGCTGCGCAGCACCCCCGAAGCCAATGTCCAAGCGGCCGAGTGCTGAAGGCAAAGGAACCCGTGAAACGAGTTGCTGGAGGGGAAACCATCGGTCGTCGGAAATGGGGAGACACCCAATGACATGATCAACTCCAAGGGGGATCTGGAGGTTGATCTAAAAGTGGGGTACCCAGATTTCATCCAATTTCCACGCACTGAATCATCGTATTGCCCCTTTTTTGGTGGTTAGATCAGTTATATCCCATATCTCCATGATTTCCCCGTCATCTTGAGACTGAGAATTTCTCCAGCAAAATCCAGCCTACTAAACAGCAGCTCAATGATCACGATGTCAAACTCCGCAAAGCAGGGTAAAACTGGGGGGTTGTTTAATATCCCCCGTGATGGAATTGTATAAACCCTAGCAAATATCTGGGGGGTTTAATATCTGGGGGGTTTGTTTAATATACCCTAGCAAACGAGAAATGGATTTCTATGTCCCATGATGGGTTGACCACCCAAGCAAGCCGGCTCAGCCGGCGGCGCAGCTGGTGATGCGGGCGGCCGCACCGTCCATCCGAGAGTCTGACACCATCGAGGCAAACTACCTGCAGGAGCCGAGCAAAGCCACAGCCCGGCTATGGTGGAATGGAGATATGCTTGGGATATGATGAATGAAGGTTGCTTGATGGTGGGGTTCTACTAGCCAACTGGAACATTTTTTTTAAAAACCAACCAGTAAAAAGGGATGACAGGCTTGGAGCACTGCCCAGATGGGACTGAATGGGAGAGATTTTTTTATCATTGATGATAAACCAGTGTTTGGTGTATCTTTACATGAAATATTTTCACCATGGATTTCAAGACTTCCCAGATCTTCTCAACTTGGCATCTCAACTCGAGTTTGTCCAACATAATTTTACATAATTACTCCGGATACCCCCAATATATATGACTATGATGGTGTAACTTGCAACGGAGAATATGATGATGAGCCACTGGACTTTTGGAATCTACGTCTATATTTAAGACAACTACACTCTGAGCAACTTCCTGTTTCGGAGTGAGGATTCATGCTTCATTTCCCAACGAGAGCCGCAATGTATTCAGAAAGGCTTTGCGCCATGGGAAAGAATTCGATGGCACGTGCTGAGACTCTTTATTTGGTATCTGTTTGCAGGAGATTGCACTACTTCGTTGGGAGCTCAATGGAATTTCTGTATTGGTCTGCCAACCAGGTCTTGTTCCGCACAGAATCCTGGGTAGTCACACAAGTGTGTCTTTCGGAGATGACATCAGCTTATCAACTTCCCTATCTACTGGATTTGTAGCTCTTTTGTAGTTGTCCAGATCTGGATGAAACTGAGGCTCAAAGCTCCAGAAGGCACCATTGGAATCCTTGGCTCGCATCCACAGCAGTTTGATACGCTGGGAATCCTGAGTGCAGGCCAACTCCTCTGCTCGCATGTGGGCGATGGTCGGGGATCCCAGGTGTGACTTGGAGGGGTCAACATTTCAGCCTGTCATGTGGCACCTTTCAATGACCGCATGGAAGGGTCATTGGGACAAAATATAGTTCAGGTCACATCATCATGCCACCAAAACAGCATATATACACACATATCTATCTATCTATCTATCTATCTATCTATCTATCTATCTATCTATCTATCTATCTATCTATCTATCTATCTATCTATCTATCTATCTATATATATTGATATCATGATATATTAAAAAAACAACATGATACCATGATATCAAGATTTCATTGCGTTCATCGCATTGCTCGCACTCATCATACTCATCATAAGATTGATCATGATGGTCCTCACGACAATCACAATCAACATGACCAATGAACATGATTAACACGCCTAACGCGCTTAACACGCTTAACACGATTCACAGGATACAATGAACACGATGAACGCAATCATCACCATCACCATCACCATCACCATCACCATCACCAGCACCTAGCCACGCAGCGCACCAGCAGCACCAGCATCACCAGTCACGCACCATCACCAGCACCAGCACCATCACCACCACCGCCGCCTCCGCCGCCCCGCCGCCGCCGGCCGCCGCCTGCCGCCCCCGCCACCGCTGCCACCAGCTTGTCCACCGGTCCTCCACCGTTCCTCCACCATCCACCCCATCCCCGCCACCACCATTCCAACCATCATCATCTTCATCTTCATCATCATCATCATCATCATCATCATCATCTCGTCATCATCATCACACCACCATCATCATCATCATCATCACCACCAGCATCATCATCATCACCACCACCACCACCACCACCACCACCACCATCATCTTTATCGTCATCATCTTTATCATCATCATCATGATCATGATGTTCATGTTTTTCTTTTGTTTCCTTCTCTGTGCTAAGACATTGCAGATGCCGGTGTATTTATCTCATGACACCCCAGAGTGGATCCCCTGCGCCCCTGGGCGGTTTGCACCTAGCCAGGTCACTCTTGTGGGCGGTTTCCTGTTGTGCTGGTGTCTGGGACAGCAGAAATCCCTACCTTTGGGATTCTGGGACTCGATGCGTTTTGAATTGTGGACGCTTACCTTTGGGTCCTGATAGGATTAGATGATTAGATGCTCAATCCCAAGAGTTCCAAAATTCACTGATGGTTTCTGATGGTATGAAGAAGCTGATTGTTTAGATGATTCCCTGTAAAAACTTCTCCAGGTTGCTCCTGACGACCTTCTCCCGGCCGACTTGAGTGCGATTGCCACGGGAAAAAGAAGCGCACGGAGCCACCGGAATCATCTCCCAGGGAGTCAACAAATGAGCCATTAAAACTATCACCGTTGATGGGTTTATTTAGGGATGCTAACTGGCTAACAATGGGGATTACAAACTAACCCATGATAGGCATATTCAGAAACCAACCAATATAATTCGATGATTTACGGATCAACGATTGAGGTGTCCGGGTTGGATTTGACATCAACCAGACCTGCTGTTTGTTGACTCACTTTCACAGGCATAAGCTGCCGTGAAATGTGGCGTCCATGATTGCGTGCGGAGTGCTAGCTGGGACGGAGTGCGGGATGATTGGCTTGATGGGGCGTTGAACATTTCTTTCCAGAGGTCATCAAACGGATTCTGCTGATGATCCCGGGTTATAGTTTAGGGTGCAGTCTTGGCAACCATTCTTGACCACTTCATGACCTGTCCAGCATAGGATCATGGATCAGACAAGGCTGTGGGACTTGACCATTCTCTTCTCATCATGGCAGATGTGGGTTGTGTAAACCATTTCAAATTGGAGGTGTATTAATCCCATTCCCCGTTCATATTAAACACCCCCTGAATGGTCCCAACTATGTAGACATTCCCTACTAAACACCATGGTTTTGTGTGTGTGTGGGGGTGTTTATTTTTTTGGGGAAGTGTATTATTTGGCTGACCCGTGTTGCATACGGTTTTCCGGGGGAAGTGTTCCTACATCGATGGAAGCTTGGCTCAGAGCTGCAGATGGCGGCCTGGCCCCTTGTAGGGGCAATTATGGGGCCCCAATATCTACAGTACCTGTCTTATTTGAGTTGTACAGATAATGTCAGTTGCAACCCATGGTCTGGGCATCCCGATGTCACCAAAACTACAAGCAACAGAACCACTCCACCGCCTTTGAAAATTGCTCGCATGGATTTGAAAGTTGGGCCATGGCCCGCGCGTGTTGAGTCTGTTGCATGGCTATCCCACGCGTTAGTTCTGTGGATACTTATTCAACCTACTATCACTGCAGGCGCCGGGACAGGGTTGAGGTTGGAACACTGATGGCCTTGCTTGTTCCCCAAACAGGTTTACCTGTATGGGGTTCTTACTCCTTTCAAAGGGTTGCATCCGTGGGCCGCATGATTTTGCCTCTGTCTCCGGGCTTGCATCCCACTTTGGGTGCCTTGGGCCGCATGAGTTTACACCTGTCTTCCACACTTGTCTGCCACTCTGGGTGCCTTGGGCCGCATGAGTTTACAGTTTACACTGATCTCCCACACCCGTCTCCCACACTTGTCTTTCACACTTATCTCGCACTCTGGGTACCTTGGGCCGCATGAATTTACACTTGTCTTCCATTTGTCTCCCATACTTGTCTCCCACTCTGGGTGCCTTGGGCCGCATGAGTTTACACTTGTCTCCCACTTGTCCCTCACACTTGTCTCCCACTCTGGGTGCCTTGGGCCGCATGAGTTTACACTTATCTCCCACTTGTTTCCCACACTTGTCTCCCACTCTGGGTGCCTTGGGCCGCATGAGTTTACGCTTGTTTCCTACACTTGTCTTTCACTCTGGGTGTCTTGGGCCGCATGATTTTACACTTGTCTCTAACTTGTCTCCCACACTTTTCTCCCAAACTTATCTCCCACACTTGTCTCCCACTCTGGGTGCCTTGGGCCGCATGAGTTTGCACTTGTCCCCCACTTGTTTCCCACTTGTGTCCCACACATGTTTCCCACTCTGGATGCCTTGGGCCGCATGAATTTACACTTGTCCCCCACTTGTCTCCTACACTTGTCGCGCACTCTAGGTGCCTTGGACTGCATGAATTTACACTTGTCTTCCATTTGTCTCCCACACTTGTCTCCCACTCAAGGTGCCTTGGGCCGCATGAGTTTACAGTTTACACTTGTCTTCCACTTGTCTTCCGCGCTTCTCTCCCACTCTGGGTGCCTTGGGCCGAATGATTTTACACTTGTCTCCCACTTGTGCCTCACACTTGGGTACCTTGGGCCGCATGAGTTTACATGTGTCTTCCGCTTGTCTCCCACACTTGTCTTCCACTCTGGGTGCCTTGGGCCGCATGAGTTTACATTTGTCTCCCACTTGTCCCTCACACTTGTCTCCCACTCAGGGTGCCTTGGACCGCATAAGTTTACACTTGTCTCCTACACTTGTCTTCCACACTTGTCTCCCACTCTGGATGTCTTGGGCCGCATGAGTTTACACTTGTCTCCCACACTTGTTTCGCACTCTGGGTGCCTTGGGCCGCATGAGTTTACACTTGTCTTCCATTTGTCTTCCACACTTGTCTCCCACTCTGGGTGCCTTGGGCCGCATGAGTTTACACTTGTCTTCCATTTGTCTTCCACACTTGTCTCCCACTCTGGGTGCCTTGGGCCGCATGAGTTTACAAGTTTACACTTGTCTGCCACTTGTCTCCCACACTTGTCTCCCACTCAAGGTGCCTTGGGCAGCATGAGTTTACACTTGTCTTCCACTTGTCTTCCGCACTTGTCTCCCACTCTGGGTGCCTGGGGCCGCATCATTTTACACTTGTCTCCCACACTTGTCTTTCACTCTGGGTGTCTTGGGCCGCATGATTTTACAATTGTCTCACACTTGTCTCCCACACTTGTCTCCCACACTTGTCTCCCACTTGTCCCTCACACTTGGGTGCCTTGGGCCGCATGATTTTACACTTGTCTTCCACTTGTCTCCCACACTTGTCTTTCACTCTGGGTGTCTTGGGCCGCATGAATTTACACTTGTCTCCCACTTGTCTCCCACACTTGTCTCTCACACTTGTCTTCCACACTTGTCTCCCACACTTGTCTCCCACACTTGTCTGCCACTCTGGGTTCCTTGGGCCGCATGAGTTTACACTTGTCTCCCCCTTGTCTCCCACACTTGTCTCCCACTCTGGGTGCCTTGGGCCGCATGAGTTTACACTTGTCTCCCACTTGTCTCCCGCACTTCTCTCCCACTCTGGGTGCCTTGGGCCGCATGATTTTACACTTGTCTCCCTCTTGTCCCTCACACTTGGGTGCCTTGGGCCGCATGAGTTTCACTTGTCTTCCACTTGTCTCCCCCTTGTCTCCCAAACTTATCTCCCACACTTGTCTCCCACACTTGTCTCCCACACTTGTCTCCCACACTTGTCTCCCACACTTGTCTCCCACTCTGGGTTCTTTGGGCTGAGTTTACACTTGTCTCCCACTTGTCTCCCACACTTGTCTCCCACTCTGGGTTCTTTGGGCTGAGTTTACACTTGTCTACCACTTGTATCCCACACTTGTCTCCCACACTTGTCTCCCACTCTGGGTTCCTTGGTTCGCATGTACAATATAATTGAAAATTTCTACATCTGTTTGGGGTTCACGCTGGTATTTTTTTTTTTTAAACTTTGTTGGTGGAGTTTCCGCCAAGTTAAACCCTGGGTGAGAGTCGGGTTCCAGATTGTTGGTTGCATATGTTGCATTTTCCAGAGTTGGTTGCATTTCACATTGCATCATGGAGTGTTCATCAACACTATCCACACACAAACAGAGGATATTGCAACACACTGGCGACTCTTGCGCCAAGAGAGATTGCTGGATCGTACTCAGTGCCGCCTGTTCATGTGTGTGTAGGTAGGTTTTTGCTTGGATATCTAGGAAATAGGGACTGCCATATTGTGGGTTTGCCCAGCAACAATATGGTTTTTCCCAAGCTGATTGATTTCCAAAAAACTATGTACTTGGGAGACTTTCATATTTTGTTTTTGATTGTGTTTGGTGGTTGAGTCAACATTCTGGCTGGTTGAATCACCAATGTCTGGTGGTTTGATCACCATATTTGTTGCTTAATTCCCCAGTACTGTTGGTGAAATCCTTCTGAGCACACTTTCAATTTTCTATTTTTGTTCAGGCATTTGCTGGGGGCATCAACCTTTAATTTTCTCAGTTTCATTGGAAATTGACCGGCACAATCCAAGATGTTGCAGGCATGTACCAACTTTTCTGTCGAAGCTTCTGTCAGGCTCACAGAAGTGACCTCGCGTCACCTGAGTCAGAGCTTCCCACGCCTCACCACTGCCCAAGCAGCGCTGCGGCACCGCGGCAGGACGCTGCCGGAGGCGGCGCCAGAGCTGGGGAAGCTGTCGGAGGAACAGTCGCGGGAGCGACTCGGGCGGAGCTTTTGGTGGGGTGCCATGAGATTTTCGGATTTTGGGCATTGAAAATGGGGAGTTAGATGTGATTTTCCAAGGGAGTTCGATGTAAGAAAAATGGTGATTCAATGGGATTGAATAGGATATAGTGAAGATATAATGGGATATGCTACTGGGGGTGCAGTTGAAATTCTGGATTGATATAACCATGGCACTTGCTCCATAAGTTGGGATATAAGCCGCATATCTATCCATATCTATGGTTATATATATATATATCATATATAATTATATATATATATGTGGCAGGGACCTTTGGGGTCTATTTCGTTCCTCCTTGCACAAACGTAATCAAACGTCATTCTATATGCATATATACTATATACACAAGTAAATATGTCTACATGTGTGTACAAGTTCAACAGAAAGTCGCAATTTTTTCCCTTGCCCCTCAACCTGCGCAGCGTCCGTTTTCTGCTCCAAGAGATGCTGTCACCAGCACGCGCGAACGCACGCCAATTTGAACTCTGGGCAGAAGAGTCCTCCAGTCTCAATTGTGTTGCTTTCCATCCCTGCAAGCTACAAAGTTTTGGAATGCGCATGCAAGTTTGGGACTCTTGTGCGCTCATGCATGGGAATGTTTTGGTTGTCAGGAGTTTGTAGTTGTTCAACTGGTTGCAATCTTAGTAATAAGCATAGTTTTATAGAAAAAACCTGAAAGGAACCTCATGGGCATGTAACACAAGCAACAAAGCAATGCAAAAATGTTCCACCACTTCCACCTGTAGTGATGAAGAGGGAGGGTGATGGCGGCCAACCCCCTTCATTTTGTCATACTCATCACTTCATTGTTTTTGGCCCCGCTGTCGTCCCCTCTCAAGATCCTTTGAATGAAGAAGAGTTGCAAAAGCAGACCTTGGACCTCTTGGTGAACTTTGCATACAGGCTGCAGATGGATGGCCTGATGCCTGACCTGCCAGAACAGCCACCAGGTGAGCCCAGTAGTGGATCTGGTTTTCTGCGAGAAGTGGAAGGTTCTAAACCCAAACGCCCAGGTGCACCACTACTTGAAGCTTCTATGGCAATGGCACCTGGCCCAAGTCCAGGTATCTGCGCGTCTTCACCAGCCAGTGCAACTACGGTTTTGCCAGTTCAACCTGATGTTGGTTTGTTGGCACCTGCCACTCCTGAAGTACCCCCTCTGAGGCTTCAGCAGCATGCATCCCCAAAGAACTACCTGGTCCAGTTCCAAAAGCAATGGGGGAGGTTGACCTGTACTCCTGACCAGGTGAAGAAGCTTCTTTATTGCACCAAACAAAAAGGCTCTCAAGCTTCGACTGGGCCGTCCTCTACTCAAGATGTATCTGATAGGAAATTCATACATTTTCTCAAGCATCATATGTTTCTATGGTTTTGCTTTCTGTGTGGGATTCAAGTTTCTTGATCTATGCATCTAGTATTGTTCATTCTCAGGTACCAGAGTTCGTGCCTCCTCGAGGAACTTCTAGTGGAGGTTGGTTCAGGAAAGTTTCTGGGCTAGTAGTTGCTTGGAAGCTTGGAGAAGCGCACAGGATGAGATGCCTACTATAACGATGGGAAGAGGTTTCACGGGTGAAGGCGTATGTGGCAGCTTTGGTGGGCTACGTCAAAAAGTGTGGATGGCAAAAGAACTTGGAGGGTGAGTATGGCTTGAACACTTGTACTCGCCCAAGATCTTACTGACTCCAGCAAAGCCTGGGTGGTTAAAAAAAACCTTATATCAAACTATCGAACAGTAAGAATTTCAATTCTGTTTCTAAATTGAAAATAAAGCAGTCGCAATTTTCAATTCGGAAATCGAAATTGAAAATCCAACAGTCACCATTTCAATTCAGAAATTTAAATTGAAAATCAAACAGTCGTCATTTAAATTCAGAAATCTAATAGAAAATCAAACATTCACCATTTCAATCAGAAATCTACCTTGAAAATCAAACGATCACCATTTCAATTCAGAATTCCAAATTGAAAATCAAACAGTCTCCATGTCAATTCAGAAATCTAAATTGGAAAACAAACAGTTGGCATTTCAATTCAGAACCTTAACTTGAACCTACAATAGTATATTTTTTACTTTTCAGATTTTGATATTAATTTGGTTTACTATTTGGCACAACTATCAAAAAAATAATGTAGTTTTTACATAAGCAGCCTTTAGGGCTTTCATTTCTAAGCCAAAAAACACATTGATGCTTTCATTTTTTGAAGCTGTCACAAGTATAGCACATTGATGCTTCAGGTTTTGGTGTTCCATTAGTGCATCAGACATGTGTCCTTTGCATTTTTCTTGTCAAGGTGTAAGCTGTCAGGATGTCCAGTAATAGGGGTCAGGCACGGGGTTCAGCCACTGATCCAATGGTATCTCGACAGTTTCAAACCTGGACCTCATCCAATGGATGGAAGAGCCTCTGGTATGTCGAGATTCATCAATCAGGTTTTGATTCTTGGTTACCAGGTTGAAATTCATCATGTTTTTAAAGCATACGGGAACTCAGATAGTATGAGGATAGAAGTAAACAAATTGCTCGCTTGCTCAGCCTGAAGAACTTGATCAAAATCAGTTACATGTTGGCTGGAGTCCCTGTTCCTTCTGGCGATGCTATCTGCGCCTGATAGCTGCAGCTGTATGCCCATAGTGCATGGCAAGCCTGGATGAAAACATACTTGGGTGGAATCAAAATACTGTGGGGGGCGAAAAAATATTTTTTTAAAAAACCATGTGGTGTACTTGTTTTTTTCTGGCCCAGTGGCCTTTCCTGCTATTTTGAAACTATTGTGGTTTATGTCCAAGGGGCTTTCATGTAAAGGTCCAGGGTTGGGTATGAGAGCCCACTGAGGTTTATATGCTTCTAACCTTAAAGGGTCCCAGAACCCATTTCCACCGACTCTTGCTACAGGTTTTGCTGAAAGGGCTTTCATTTTATTTTGTAAACTAAATTGTTTCTGCCCAAAGGGGCTTTCATGTAAAGGCTTAAACTCTTTTATTCCATGCCCAAAGGAGCTGTCATAATTCTAACTTTGAAGGTTAGCAGAATCAATTCTCTTCTGCTTCTGCTGCAGTGGGCCCATAGGAATTGTGGGCTCACCTTAGCCTAGATCCTTTGATCACCATGGCTACTTTGGGACGTTGAGGACTTAGTCAAGGAGATTAGTGATATGGAAGCGATTTACCAAAGGAACGCTGGTTCACAGCTGGTGCCACGAATGCAGGAAGCTTTGCAGTCCAAAGTGAATGGTGTCCAAATGCTCGCTGCTTCTAACTTCTTGAAGCGTCCTGATGCTGTTCAAAATTGCATCTTGACTGCTGACACGAAGGCAGAGTTGCAAGCATTTCTCGAATCAAGGGCAGCCTCTTCAATCCAAGGGGCCACCAGGTTGCAGGCTACACCTCAAAGCATGACCACGCCTTGGAACTACCTGTCCCAAAGCGAATGGCAGCAGATGCAGAATGGCATCGACACAGTTGATGCTACCCACATGCTGATCAAAAGAATCAAAGTGTGTGGGTTGAAAAGCCTCAAAGAAGACACCAAGAAGTACTTGACATCCTTTTTGGTCAGCCTTCAGGTGAAATCACCAATGTCTTGCCTCCAGTTTTTGACATGTACAAATTTTGTGCTGGATACGTTCGAGGCTGTGGTGGCTCAACCTCTGCATGCTGGTTTGGCAAGGTACCCTCCTAGCCCCCACGACATTGGGGAGGCACTGGGTTTGTAGAATCTTTGGTGATGGCTGCTTTCAAGCTGATAATTTTGAAGTCAAAATTTAGCCATGACATAATCCCTGAACACACACACACACACATGGACACGTATACATATTTCCATTTGAACATAAACACTTGCAGGCTTTCTGCTTGCTCGCTACCAGTCATATGATAAACCTTGGAAGCATTGCCAAGAAAGTCACGGTGAGCGGAACTGCCAAGGAACTCAGGGCTGTGGCCACTCCACAGGCAACCTCTCAGCAGTTGCCAGCAGAGCCTTCGACAGGGAAAGATCCTACAAACAGTATGGTGACCACCCATCTCTTTGACATGATGGAGAAACAGGCCAGAGCTTTGGATGCCTTGAGCCAGAAAATCTTGAACAGGAGAAGCCTCCTTCCAGCAACTCCTTGCTCTCAGATGGGGCCGGCCCAAGGGACCCCTGACTCCCAAAGCTTTGCCGGCAGTTCCAGCTGTTTTGCCTCTACCTGCACCTTCTGACTGTGCTGCACCTGCTGGAGGAAATGATGGCACCCAGGCAAAAGCCTTGAGGATTATGAAGCTGAGGCCGAACACATGCTCACCAAGAGGAAGGGCAATGATTTGGATACTGCCATGAAGAGGCCAGCTTCTAAGAAAACCCTAGCCAAAGCAGAGCCCAAGCAAAAGGCCATTGTGAAGAAGAATGCTGAGGAAGCAAAGCATGTCACACCAGCTTTCCTCAAAGGAATCTATGGATGTGTGAGATGCCGTGGCAGTGTGAGTGGCTGTGACAAGTGCCAGTCTCCCTACTTTGGGGGGACTCAGTCTCAGTTTAAGACAGGAATACAACAACTGGTAACAAGAAAGGCAGCAGGGGAACAAAAGGAAGTGTAAATATTTCCTTGGTCAGACAAAAGATCGTGGGCTGCCTTGTGGTAAATAACCATGCAAACACAGCAATGGTAAATCATACAGGCAGTGGGGGAAAACAGAAACGCTTAGGCTTTCTCTTGACATACTTATCTAGACATATTTTCCAGCATGAAAGTAAGTGACCACTAACTTGCAGTGCTGCCCTTGGTTCTGCTTGTTGTTTTCAGTTTTGGCTTCAAGAGCTATCATTTGAAATCCGTTTGCCTGCAAGGGCTTTTTTGTTTGAATATGTTTGAATCAGTAGCACAGCATTGTGGGCACAGCTTTCTGCCCAAGGCAATGTGTGCCAAATCTGCAAATGACATATTTGGAGGCCATGTTAGCAGCAGGTTCCGCAGCAGGCCATGGAAC